TGACTCCTTAGCCCAGGGCTAAGGACTCTGAAAGCGTTCGTTTGTAGGCTGCATGGGCATAATAAACAAAGTTGTAAATGCAGCCTACAGAGGTAAGGGAGCTGTGCCCCTGCTCATTTACGTGTAACCCTTGAGCTGCCAGTCCTCCACCCGTGGCTCCTGGGTCGGGCCAGGCCCCCCAGGGGGGCGTTACGTGGCACCTTGGGCACTCAGAGTCCAGATCAGCCCACTGGACTCCCCACCAAAAGTCCGTGTACTGACTGTCTCCTGCACCTCCCCAGCGCCACCTGCGCCTCCATGAAGCGCTTGATCCCGTGCGTCTCACCAGGCGCCGGTCTCACACTCAAGCCTGCAGTACTTTCCCCCTGGTCACCGGTATACCGGGGGTCTGTAAACTCCAGTCCTGCAGGGCTCTCAGCACCAGTGACATCCTTCTCTGGGCCACCCTAAACCCAGATGCAGGGGCCTCTGCTTCTCCAGGGGTAGGCCGCCCGGGGGCCCATCTACAGGTCAGCAGCCATCCGGGTCCTCTGAGCTGTAGTGAAAAGCCTCTACATGCGGGTAAGTGATTTCCGCTGTGTCTGCCCCTATGTCCATCCGATCAGAACCTCTGACGGGCTGTTCTTCGGGAAGCCTTTGCCAATGCCGGCCTATCAGCCTAAGACCAGCACAGGGGCCCCTGTCGCCGCGAGAGCCGTCGACATGAGGTTGGGATAACCCCCGCACTAAGTAGTATACATCATACATATATATTTATATATATCATAAAAAATATGGCACAGCTGCCATTTTACATGCAAAATAACACTTTTTAAACATGCCTCCTCGACATAGCTCTCCTGGCCTCTCATTGCCTGAGTATAGGTTAAATAGCAGATAGGACTAACTGGAGTTGCAGCTGGGCTATTATATTGATGATCCCATAATATGCTTCCTTTAACGGTACTTACTGGGTCCACGTGCCGGCAGGGGTCCTCAAATTGAGCCACATGCGGCTCAATCACTCCTGACTCCAGGTGTGCCATGCTTGCCGAACATTTTGTTCGGGCGCGCGGCCCGTACAGTATTGGGAACGCTGCTAAGCACATTCTTAAAGGGTAAATGGGAGCCTAACCTTGCAGTCGGCTCCCATTGGCCCATGTCGTTCCGGCACCCCATTTACACTGTTGTGGGGTGCAGGCATGATGTGGACCAACCAAATTAAAGACTTATTTAAACTTACCTAGCCCTAGATTCTGTGCCCTATTGTGGTTTCTGTTCCCAATACCCTTTTAGTGCGTTCCTTGTGTTTTTGTATTGAATTCGGTTATGGACCTTGGCTTTGTGTCCTGACCAAGTTTCTATTTAACCCTTGCCTGTCTTGTTTAGCCTTCTGATTATTACTGTGTACCTGACTCTGGCTAGTTTTTGTCATCTCTCTGTTACCCAGACCTCAGCTTGTATTTAGACTACTTTTTACTCTAACGTTTAGTCTGGCCACTCTAAGGCCCAGTAAGACGTTTATATTTCCTTTGTCCATTCCTTGCTATACTAAACTCTGCGTGTTAGGGTTACACTCTGTGACACTTCCTTGCCAAGCCTAGAGCTGTTTCACTCTTACAGTACACTATCTGCTGTACTGCTTTGGTATAAATGTTTTATCCAGTGGAATTTGTCTCTAGTAATAGCCCACAGTTTTACAGATCTGTTCAAACAGAAGCTTCCCAACTCATTTTGTAAACCTAAATTAGAGCGGTTTACAGTCTTTCTTTATAATAACACTACTGTGATATCTGCAACTATTAGTGTTGTTCTCTACATGTATGATCACAGATGGATATGTCCTTTCATACTGTTACTTTGCTTTTGTGAATATATCTATGTTACATCTGCACTTTAAATAAACAGAACTTTGACTTACCGTAAATTCTTTTTTCCTTAATATAGTGGCAGTACCAGTGGGTTTGTATCCTCTTGATGGACAAGCCGACTGTAAATAAGTAAAGAAATGTTTTTCAATAGTCCCTCCTACTTCCCATTTAAAACCCCAGGACCGTCAGTAAATTAAAAGAAAAGACAATAGGCCATATCATGCTCAATATAATTTTATTATCAACAGAGGGAGAGAATCGTACTATATTAAGGAAAAAAGAATTTACGGCAAGTAAAATTTCTGTTTTTCCTAGCATATAGTGGCAGTACAAGTGGGATACAACAAGATCCCTGGAACATTAAAAGGCGAACTACAGCATGAAGCACCTTGCGCCTAAAAGCAGCCTCAGAGGACGAGAAGATGTCTAGCTGATAGTGCTTGATGAAGGTATGAAAAGAGGACCATGTTGCTGCTTTGCGGATGTCTTCAGGAGGCGCGTTGGATTTTTCCGCCCATGAAGTAGAAATGGCTCTGGGTGAGTGCTCTAATGGAGGAAGGTATTTGAACATCATGCATTTCATGAGCCAACTTGATGGTGTCTGTTAACCACCTTGCCAGAGTGTATTTAGATGCTCCCATACCCTTCTTTTTACCCTGAAATTGAAAGAATCATTATAGTCAACATATAAAAGCAAGAAAGACAGGTCCCCTAGCCGCCTTTCTTGCTTTTATATGAACTTCCCATTAAAAAAAAAAAAAAAAAATCGGAGTCCTTTTTCTCAGATAAATATACCTCCGTTTCAGTGCCGAGTTCCTTGGCAGGCCGCGCCCCCTTTTTCATAAAAATGACGAAGTAGCAGGGCTCAATCAGATGCTTCTCTTAAAGAAGCATCATAGCGATCTGGTGCACATGCGCGGGTTTGCGCTGCACCAATCGTGTTCTTCATGGAGCGGCATCGAATGCCGCCCTATGAATGAACTCAGCGCGTGTCGCTGTATGCGCGTTCGCAAGCTGAGCTGACTGGCAATGCCCGCCCCCCTCCTATGGTAACCCTCCAGCCCAAAGTGAGAATACAAACACTATATACAGAGAAATCTCTTCATATAGTGTTTGTATAAAGACACATTTTAAATAAATATTGTTAAACATACACACACTACCCATTACACTCGCGCACTCTCTCAATTTTTAAAATAAGTGTACTTACTGTTTGAAGTCAGGAGATCTCTGCATCTTCCACGCTATCTGCTCGGATTGCGTACAGGCCCCGAGCTGCTACAGGAAACAAGAGGCGCGTTCACAGTGCCTCCTGTCATCACGTTTGATGTATTTACCCAAGTGTGAAAACGTCAAACGTGATGAATGCGAGTTAGGCAGCCCTGAACTCGGAAGTCCCTCTGGTGGCCGTCTGAGTGACTACCAGTGGAGGTGTTCCTATGTACTAATGTTAACACTGTATTTTCTCAGAAAATACAGGGTCTACATGAGAAAGGCTGCAGGGAGCTATAGTTCTCATCTGAAAAACTTTATTAAGATTAAGTTGTCCAGGTGAATATAGTGTCCCTTTAATAAACAGGTGATCCGAGGACCTAAAATCTTCTGAACAGTACAAGTCAATCAGAAGAGCTCTGAGAACATCCAGGTTATGCCACTTTCATTCTTGATCCAAACTTCCCGAACTACAGAATGATGGAAGCACCAGAGGTTCATTCAGAGATTTTCTTGAAATAACTTTTGGTAAAAACAAAAACAAAAGAAGGCTTAGTATGCAGTACAACCTTGTCCTGATGGAAAATCGTGAATTCCGATGAAGAGGAAAGGGCTTGGATCTCCCCAATTCTCCTAGCTGAGGTAATTGCTACCAGGAGAATAGTCTTGAGAGACAGAATTCTTAAGGATACACCTTCAAGTGGTTCAAATGGAGCTTCACATTAAGACTGTAGCACCACAGATAAATCCCAGGAAGGGAATTTTAATATCCGTTATGGTCTTTGTAAAAGAATGGACCTAAACAAACGCCTAATCAGCAGACATGTTGCAAATTCTTGTAGCAAAAAATGGCTGAGGGCCGCAGTGTGAACCTTTAAAGTAGAGACACTGAGTCAATTTTCAAAGCCTTCTTGCAGAAAATGAAGAATCATCTTGACAGAGAGACGGAAATGAAAGCAATTATGCCGAACGCACCAATGGAGAAATATGTTCCAAATCCTCAAATAGACACTAGATGTAGAAGCTTTGGTGGAGTTATATGAAACAGGTTATCTGGAATGCCCTGGTCCTTCAGGATTAACCTTGCAACAGACAGGCCGTCAATCTGAACATTCAAATTGTTTTCTCCGGAAGAACGACATTGCCATAAGTCGCAATGTCAAGAACCAGCTCCGGTTTAGCCAGTATGGGATGACACCAATCACTTGAGCTTGTTCTGATCTTCTGTAAAGTTCTAGGGATGATTGGGATAGAAGGAAAATGATATGCAAGACAAACTCCAGGGAATCATGTCCATGGTTGTCTTGTCTGAACAGTGAAGCAAACTTTTGCACTTTCTGTTCATCCTCCATGCCATTAGATCTATTAACCTTGGCAGGCCGCGCCTCCTTTTTAATAAAAATTCCTCTCCTAAATCCAGACAGCAGGAACCAGAACAGTTCTTACAAGAGCTAGTCATTACCGTATTTTTCCAACCCTCAAAAGTGAGGGAAATGTCTGTGCATCTTATGGAGCGAATGTGAAGCTTTACTTACCTGTATTATAGCGTGGGCTAGCAGAACAGCACGCACCACGGTACAGGAACTTAAATTTCAATTTCCAGCCGGAATGAAAGGAAATGCGCTCTCAGTAAAGATTTTTGTAAAAATTCTTGGGCCTGGTGCGAGCCCGAAGGGAAGGGCTTTGAATTGGAAGAGATGGATACTGGAACCGGAGTGAACTGCAAACCTTAGATACTTCCTTATTGTTAATTACCGCCATGGAAATATGAAGATAGGCGTCGTTTAGGTCTAAAGTTGCCATACAATCGCATTTGTTTAATAAATGGGTGACAGAGTGAATCGTGTCCATCCGGAACTTCTGATACGGAATATACTTGTTGATATTCTTTAGGTCCATTATAGCTCTGACTTATCTGGCTTTGGGACCATAAAGAATCTGGAATTTACCCCTTGGAATATACTTTGAAATCCTGCTGTTTGGAAGATTCTTCTGCAGGATGTCCCCGCTCTTCTGTCCATTGGATTTTTGAGGCTAGATACCTCACTGATGGGTAGAGTGGTCTTTTTTGACAGTTGTTACACTTGCATATCTACCTTAGGTAGATTTTCCCAAATTAAATCTTCTTGAAGTCTGATAAGCTCCTTAAAATGTTTGGAAATGAAAGTCCTTTTCTCAGGATTCTGCCATTCTCTATAAACAAATTCTAACAACCTCGGGTTGGGAAACCAATCCTCCTCTGATAAAACCGCCATTACCTCTTTAAGGAATCTTTTTAGGTGTTCTGCAGGAAAACCTTCTTCCACACTAGACGCCTCACTTGATTTTGATGAGCATGTAGTGTCAGAGCATTCTCCTGACGACAACTCAGACAGGGAGGGAGATTTTACTTGCTTAAACTTTTTCAAATGCCTCTCCTGAGAAGGAATATGCATTTTAGCAGATTCTTTAAAAGATTCAAAAAGTCTGTGATAGGTTACCCTGAAACCAGTTAAGAAATTTCTGCATATCCTGCTGTTTAGATTTTTTATTTTTTTTGAGGCGAAGCTATTGCACATCATCTTTTTGCATCTATCAGGTAATGGAGTAGCACATTCTGAACAGGTGTTCTGTTTCAATTTAAATGTAGCCTAAGTTCCGAATTGCGCATGCGCAGTAGCGCATTTGGAATTACGGTGGAACACATGGCCGGCCAGGCATGCATTCCACCGCCGTGCGCAAGCTCGCAATCCAATTGGCGCACCACCTCTTACGCAGCATTGGACTCCACACGGCATAAGAAGGCAGACTCTCCGACAGCTCTGTAAGCAGGACACAGAGCGGGGCACTCAGCTCACCTCGCAGGGAGCTATCGCCAGATCCCCCAGACAGCAACCTGTGCATCTCACCAGACTCCCAGTACAGTCAGCGTGTCCATCCCGAATGGGACAAGAAAGAACAAGGACGGTCCTGGGGCAAGTCCGGGGTTTTAATGGGGAAGTAGGAGGAACCATTTCAAAAAATTTATTTACTTATTTACAGTTGGCTTGTCCATCAAGAGGATACAAACCCACTGGTACTGCCACTATCGGCCAGGAAAATACATTTAAAAAAAAAAAAAACACACACAAAAAAACCCAAAACATACAGGTTTACATAGGGAAAAAAATGCAAGTGTTTATTATTCACACATATAATACAATGATAACATACATATAATAGCATATATATCAGAATTGCACAGACCCCTTCTGCTGATGGTGAACCACAACTCCCATAATTCTCTGCCATAGCTGTAGGCCAACAGAAAGTTATGATGACTGTTGTTTAACAGCTTGAGGACTACAGTTTGATACACCTGAGATTACACACACACACAGAGTTATAAAAATAGCAAGGTTTGTGCAGATTACTCTATACTGCATTGGATTTGCATTGTATATATGGTGTAGGATAGATGAGTTTTGCCAATCTTGGGTCACAGTACCTGAGAAGTGTGTGAAAGAATAGCACGCATAGATTAATGATCTACAAGATTAAGGCAAAGTGGCAGTTAAATAATAATACTACTAATAATGATAACATACAATAGGTATTCAAGTTATCATTGCCAGCTCTAAACTATGATGGTCTGTTCTCTTCAGAGCCCTCTGTATAAGATTTAGGCAGAAGTGCAGCTTCAGGATGTGGTACTTTTTCTAGAAGATGAAAAAAAAAAATTATTACATTTATCACAATTCGGAACGACAGAAAATACAATTTTAACCTTGAAATAACTCCTGTGAATATAGTCCCTAGCAGGTCATGTAAACCAATCTGTGCAGCATGCTATTCCCCCTCCCTCGGGTCCCCCTATCCCGGTAAATAAAGGGTTAAAAAACAAAAACCTTTACTTACTTTATCCCAGCGCCGATGTCCCTCAATGCTTTCCTATGGGGAAAAGGTCAGTTTTAATTCAGGAAGCCCTCTAGTGGCTGTCTGGTAGACAGCCACTGAGAGCAGACAGAGCTGCAATATAAACATTGCAGTTTCTACAGAATTGCAGCATTAAGTGCAAATGGGACTTCAATTAGCTGAAGTGGTCTGGGTGCCCCTTTACGCTATTGTGCCACTTTGTCTGAATAAAGTCATTCAATGGAAATCCTTTTCAACAACCAATGATAAATTTAATTTCCAAGTCTGACATTGTAGAATCAAAATATACACATCATATATATATGGTGTGCTTAAGACAGACAGACTCGTCTAGTCGTATCACAAGAGGCTTCACAGCAGCAGTAGCAGCTTGTGGGAAGAGTTGAGCTTTACAGCCAAGTATTCACGGCATTCTTAAAAACTTTGTATGAAAACGTACGGCTTCTATAACCCTGCACAAATCGTTTCAGTGATGAAAATTAGCACTTTTATTATCAAAAATAGAATCACCTCCCCAGCTGTCAATTAGCTATGGAGATTCACTTCCTACTTCTGTAAGCTTGGATTCGCTAACGGAAGTAGCAGGCGCATTCTATTTAGTGCACCAGCCTTCCAGAATTGCCCAAAAGAATTCTGGTTTAACCCTGGTCAATTTTTTTCCCCATCTTTCTTTTCTTGTAAAGCAGCATGTAATAAAAAAAAAAAAAAGTGTGCAATCACTGGATTGTGCACACAGCCGGGACAGAAACAGAGGCTTCTCTATAAGAAACCTCTGATTGGATAGTTCTCCAAGAAGGGACAGCTTACAAAGGCTGCAGTCATAAGAACTTCAGCCTTTGCAAGCTCTTTAAGACTATAGCCCCAGTGAATACATGTATGTATTCATTGGGGGAATATTTACTAACTTGTTTTATTTTGAAATTTTAAGTGTGGAATGTTCCTTTAATGCCATCATTGATTCCCTTGTGGTATAAATCCAGGACACCTTTGTCAGAAAATATTATCAACAAGTTAATCTGTCTTCCCACCTATTTTAGAGTACACTTTTAGTTCAACATTCCAATCCTGACATCACTATTCAGAATATCAAACAGGACACTCATATCCTGACCATTGCAACCGATGTATAGTTCGTTCAGTTTTAGGCCTGCCAATCATTCTCTGTAACAAGCATAACACAATTTATATTTCCTAGGGGAGAAGACTTTTAGAGATGCCAGCATCTCTGTTTAGGTGGCTCATTCTTCCTCACAGATTATCAGAGGTTAATCAAAGCAAGCAAATTATCTGACAGAATTGACAGCCATCTTGGAAAGGTCAGTTGTTGAAAATAACTTTGGTTACATGAGGTGACCAGTAACCGTAGATGGATATCCTGCACTGCCATCTATTGCTATATGATGTAACACACATTTTAACAGGCTCATCCTCTACCACTTTCCAGATTTTATTCATAGTCATCAAGAAGTCATAATGAAATGGAAAGATAGAGTAAAAGTAAAAATAAATTTGAGTATTGCTAATGCGTTTTATATGTCTGCATTAGTTCATAAAATTCGGAAGTTTACTAGTGGTTTGAGTCCTGATGCTGCAATTTCTAGTGGCCAAAATTATAATAATAAAAAAAAAAAAAAGAAAAATAATAAAATACCCCTCAATAATAAAAACCATTTTGTTCTGTCATATTTCTATGTTAAAGTTATAACAGGATGTTCTTTAAAAAAAAATAGGAATTAAGATAAATTAATTTTCTCTAACAGTTGCCCATTTTTAGTTATGTGGTACAGGATGCCTATTTAAGACATATAAAATTGGCATGTTTGGTTGTAAATTCTTCCCTACATTTGGCTTTATTTCCCTTAAAAAGCTGGACATGTCCATATTTTCTTTTTTAACAAAAGTTGCTTCTCTCAGTTCTAGGGAAAGGAAGAGTGTGGTCCTGACCCAGCATGTTGAAGTCAGGCCTGCTTCAAAATGTTAAATGTAGAAACTGGGATACCAACTAGATCGTACCACTGATCAATAACTCACTGACCAAAAAATAACATTTAAAACTACCAGCAGTGCAAATCTAATATGAAACACCCTCTCAGTGTTTTTAGACAATTTTACAGAAAGCACCCTCCACTCGATAACACAACTGTAGGTGGATGATATGCATATTTCTGGTTTGAATTCCTCGTTGAATTAAAATAAATATTTCAAACAGGATACACTGACATTTCCTCTCTTTTCCCCCCACTACTACATGCACAATCTAGGTTGGTTTTAGATGTTATTATTACACAACTCACAGGTTAAGACGCTAAAAAAATAATAATGTGAAGGTATAAATCACAATAATTGGAAATAAAATCTCTAAGTCAGCTATGTTTTCAGTTCCACTATTTTGGTCTAAAATCTGTAAATGTACTTGGAATTCCTAGACAATTTACATTTTAGTGAAATAACCATCAGTCTCATTTTGTAGACAATGCAAGATAAAAGGTCAGGATGGCCTTAATGGAAGAAAATAGCCTATTGCTTAATATTTGACGGTTTCAGGCAGTGATTGCATTCAGTTGAACCACAAAAGCAAATTTCATAAATAGCCAATCACAAACAGAGAGCAATTTCAACACTAGGAAGGGTTCTCACCAACATAACTTTTTAGCTCCTTCAACTCCTGCAGTAGGCGCTGGTATTTTATGCTGCAGCAATGGCATGCCTGAACAGAAAAAATTTAAACAAAGCTTGTCAATTGTCAAATACATATCCTTGATTTAGGGAAGAGAACATTATACAACTCCTGTTCACCTTGGTCATGAAAGCAGCTCTGACATTTTGAGGGATTTTATAAATATGTGAATGTTATTCACTAAACTCCAAATTCTAACAAATTAAACACGAACAAAAAAACCCAAAGGCTAAGACAATGACGATCGCTGATTTGGTGATGTTTTCCAGATTAGCTACTTTTGACTCATTTTTATTTAGATTTAATATGTGGAAATTTGGAGTTTAGTGAATAATCTCATTTCAATGAGATTCCAACAAAGTCAGTATGTTTCATAAAGATTATACAGGAAAAGATTATACAAGCTTAAATAAAAATACATACATTGTATTTTTCCATCCTAAAGAAACAAACTTTGGTCGTTCTTTTAATTGCTTAAATAAAATGTAGAAGTTTTAAGTCTGGAGAGCAGCCATTCTATTGACTTGTGTTAAATAAATACACATACACACACAAATGAAAGAGAACTCCAAATGATTTTTTACATAAGTGTATATATATTTAAAAAACAAACAAAAAAAAAAAATTTATTTGGAGTGCTCTTTCATGTTCCTTGCATATTTTGGCACTTAGAAGCATCCCGGTATCTTTTATTTATTTTTTAAACGACCACTCTAGACACCCAGACCACTTCAGCTTAATGAAGTGGTCTGGGTGCCAGGTCCCTCTAGGATTAACCCTTTTTTTTTTTTTTAATAAACATAGCAGTTTCAGAGGAACTGCTATGTTTATAATAGGGTTAATCCAGCCTCCAAATCCTCTAGTGGCTGTCTTATTGATAGCCGCTAGAGGCGCTTGCGTGCTTCTCACTGTGAAAAATCACAGAGAGAAGACGCCAGCGTCCATAGGAAAGCATTGTAAATGCTTTCCTTTGAGACCGGCTGAATTCGCGCGCAGCTCCTGCCGCGCGTCCGCATTCAGCCGAAGGGGAGGGGAAGAGGCGGAGAGCTCCCCGCCCGGCGCTGAAAAAAAAAGTAAGTTTAACCTCTTTCCTTTCCCCAGAGCCGGGCGGGAGGGGGACCCTGAGGGTGGGGGCACCCTCAGGGCACTATAGTGCCAGGAAAACGAGTATGTTTTCCTCAGTGGCACTATAGTGGTCCTTTAACATTTTTTTTATTTTTAGTGTGCAGAGTGGTACAGCAGTGCTTGCATTGCCACAACAGCATTCACAAGCGTGGTCATAAGAACAAAAGTATTACATAAGTATGGTATGAGTAGAACATGCACATTTTAAAGTTTAGTGGTTCAAGATTAAGAAAAATGCATGGACATACTCTTAGGTCTATATAGGTGTATCACAGATTGTTGTGCGAGTCTGAGAACTATAACGATAAGTGTGGCATACACGAATAATGCATAGAGAAAACATGGATTTTGTAGATATAAATCATGAGTTTATAGACTGCTAGACAATGGCATGTAGAACTACGTTATGTACATATGCTTATCAAAAGATGTCAAGATTTAACTAGACTGGACTGAGGGGAGACAGCAAGGTGCCGGTCGGAGAACTGGGGGAGCGACCGTCTCACCCCAGCTCAAGCTCGATAGGCCTCAAATCGGGTTACTCCATTGTAGTAACTCCTTTTGACATATAATGTATGATGGAAGTTCTAGTTCAGGAACATTAGAAAGCCAGTAAGATGGATAGACCTGGTGTGTGTGTGTGGCCATACATACTTATGTTCCTGAACTAGAACTTCCATCATACTGAGCAGTCTAGCCATTTTGAGTCATCTCCAACATCAAAACAAAAAATCTTCCCCAATTCTCAAGTTTATCCATGCTATGTACATTTATGTAGTTCTGCAAATAACTAGAGAGTATTTTAGCACTTAATTATATAGGGTGTTAAAATTCTAATAAAAAAAACAAATATTGGGGAAAAATGTTAAGTACAGTAAACCACTGTTTTAGGGTGTTACAATTTATATCCATACCTGAAAATGGGAACAATCTTCGGATATAGGCAGAGATGCATCTCCTGCGAAAAGGAAAAAGAAAGGAAATCAAATAAAATAAAAATAAAAAATACTATTAACATGTTGCATGTGCAGACAGAAAAACATTAAAACTGTTCAGAGCACCTGGCACAGAGGACGCCATGACAGAGCAGGCAGCGGACATTGTGTTTGTTTTTTCTTGCAGGGCATTAGATGCATGCAGTTTGTCACTGGACTCTGTAACAGATTTCTCGACCTGCTTGATATTTGTGGACTCTGCTCCAGTTACTTCAGAGATGACGGGCTCATTGCATGGTTTCAGGGATGCCACGAACATCTTTTTTGGAGCAGTCCTTGGAGCCAAGCTGTTTTCAACTTTTGACGTAAGAGAATTATTTCGAGCCCCAGCAGATGCAAATTTTGGCAGTTCCCTTTGAAATTTCCTTACTGGTAAACCTGAAACACATTATGGACACTTAGAGATCCTGCAAGCCAGGAGGATGTTTTAACTCTAAAAATAAACGGAAACGCTAAAAAGCAGGATAGTACATGTATGAATCTCCAAATCTTTCCCTTTAACGCTTTATTGTAATGGGAATCTACAATAAAAAAAATGTAAATCTTTTTTAATGAGACTATATAGCGCAATAAATAAAAGCAACTCGCCTGCAAAGTGTTCCCAAGTGTTCTTTGCGGAGAGAGGCCATCAGCAGCTACATTTCTGCAGTACCCTTGAAGTGGGCATGTCATCTTCTGAAATGCTCATCTTAAAGGAAGTACCTCTCTTGATAATTTAAATTAAGACTCTGTAGATGAGCACATATATGTCCTGACAGCTTCAGGTAGAGGAAACTAAAGGATTCAACTGTGTGCAAAACTGTTTCTTGTCTTTTTTGACATGTTATTCAAAAGGTAACTAATTTCGAACCATACTTTTTCAAACTCTAAACAAGTTTTAAAAATATTACAAAAAGGTACATTTAAAAAAATTAATTAAAAGAAGGACTTTAATTCTTCACCCCATGTCTCTTAGCAACCAAGATAATATAGTGCTTATTCTGTTCTTTTAGTATAGTGTAACAGGGAGGAGGAATCAAAGGCCTCTCCCCAGAGGTTATTGCTGAAATGATTCTGATATACCACTGCAATTATAAAAATAACAAGGAAAAGGAATTCCAGGTCAAGGTAGCTCTGTGCACCATAACCATCAGAAAAAAAACACATGTTATAGTGTTTGAGTGTGCCTTAAATATCCATTTAGCCATTCTTCATTAACTCTATTGTTGGGTATACAGTGTAACTAGCATTTTTTGTAAACACATTAGACTTTACCTATCGTTGCTCACCTGGGAGGTTGGACTTCATTTTAGAGGGTGATTTATGTGATTGTAAGGGGATGGGTGGACGCAAAGATGGAAGTCCTGGCCTGAGAATCCCAGATGCTCGTGGTGCTGAAGAAAACAAGAGGGTGTTGCGATGAAGACTGGGTAAGGGCACAGATCGAAAAATTATTGTTTTTTTGTTACCAGGTACAATACAATTTATTTTCATTAAAAAAAAAAAGTTAAATTAAACTCAGCTTTTAATGTGCCCGTTTCTGTACTGCTGCTCTCCACCATGATAGGGTGCTCCAATCAAGCTGGAGTTACTTTATCCTATAAAGATCCGTTCCAATCATCATCACAGGATTATTGGCCTACTCAAACTCATGGCAGTCACATAGTGGCTGCTATCAGTTTGTACACAGCCTGGTTAACCAGTTAGTGAACCAGGCTGTGTTTTAATCAGCAGTCGTGGCCTGCACATGCACAGTCCACAGAAAGGCTCTCATATACTGTAATAAATGATCAGAAATTAGAGTGTGAGTTAGAGTGTTCTAAGAACCATGTTTTTACAATAATGCAAAGTGTTTATGATGCTTAGACTGACTCTCTAAGTACCAAAACAACTTTAGCTTAATGGAGTGGTTTGATGTATAAATCATGGCTCTACAGTCTCAGTGCTATAGAGTAGTGACACTGCAAGGGCAATATCTATACACCAAAATGGCTGCATTAAAGGACCACTACAGTGCCAGGAAAACAAACTTGTTTTCCTGGTACTATATGGTCCTTAGTTCCCCCCACCCTCAGGGCCCCCCTCCCGCTGGGCTGAAGGGGTTAAAACCCCTTCAGCCATTTGCCTTAAAGTGCCAGGCTCCCTCGGCACTGGTGACCTCTCCTCCCCCCTTCGATGTCAGCTCCCGAGTGGAGTCGAATGCGCAGCCAGAGCTGTGTGCGCATTCAAACCGACCATAGGAAAGCATTACTCAATGCTTTCCTATGAACGTTCTGCGTGCTCAATGTGATTTTTCGCATTGAGCGTCACGGAAGCACCTCTAGTGGCTGTCAGGAAGACAGCCACTAGAGACTGCATTAACCCTGCAATGTAAACATAGCAGTTTCTATGAAACTGCTATGTTTACAGCAGCAGGGTTAAAACCTGGGTGACTATAGTGGTCCTTTAAACTAAACTTATTTTAGTGCTTAGGAGTATCCTATAATAGCATGCACACCGTAGCCATATTGAAAAAGTAGCCAATAGGTTTTTGTATATTACGAAATCTGCTAAAGTAAAAGGGGAATGTATTTATTTCTTTAGTTATTCTGTTTCTGCCGCTATATATCCCTCAGTATTCCAACTACTAGAATGCTCAGCTATTCACCCATTTAAATCTGCTGCTTAAACAGAGATTAACGGTCTTCAATTTGAACAAAAAAAGTCATGGTTGTACTTATATAAAAAGTAGGACCCATGGATCTATATGTAACATCATACATTGTGTTTCTTCAGTTGGTAACAATACAATACTGGCTGTGCATGTTTACTAGAAGAAGAGAATCATATATATATAAAAAAAAAAAAATATGTACATTAAGTCTACAGGGTTTGGCATCTGCAATTTCTCACCAGTAGGTGCAGGTGGCTGTACAGTAGAACTCATAGTGCCACTTGTAGATTGTGGTAGATTGGTACTGTTGCTTTGCCCACCCACAGGAAGCAGACCACTGCCAATTCGAGAAGGAGGTCTGACCGAGGAGGCAACATTAGGCAAGGAATTTGTTGTATTACATTTCATCTGCACAGCAGAGAAAAAAATAAAAACCAACACGAAAACACTAGTAAAGACATCAAAGCAGAAATACAGATTGAATATTACACAGTATACGTAGAAATGCAACTACAAAATCCACAAAAGAATGGCTACCACCAAAAAATATACTGGGGCTTCCTGCTGAGCCTTTTATGGACTGCAGTTTCCTACTCTGGCTTGCAGAGCTAAAAGATGCAACTCAAAAACAAAACAACATTATGGCATCTTTTTTTTTTTGCAGTGTATTGTGAATATATCATACTCTATTTTTACTCATACATTTTTCATGTATTAAATGCATAACAGTGATGCAGCAAAAGACATGTATGTATTGAGAAATAATACATTAAAGCAAAATGATTTATTTCAAATGTAATTTGTACCTGACAGCCATCAAGGTTAGGGATAGGTAACCTTTGGGACTCCAGATGTTGTAGACCATCTCCCCTGGTGCTTTGCCAGCATTATGGCTGTAAGAGCAAGGGATCGACTGATATTGATTTTTTAGAGCCGATATCGATACTGTGTGAACTTTCAGGCTGATAGCCGATAACTTACCGATATTCTGTACATTTACCATTTTGAAAAAACAAACTATTTCTAAAGGTAAATTAACAAAATATACATGCCACATGTAGTGAATGCAGTGTGTTTAGACAGGGAAGCTGTGTGTGTTTGTGTAGTGTGTATATAGTGAATGCAGTGAGTGTTTGTGTAGTGTGTATATAGTGAATGCAGTGAGTGTGTAGTGTGTATATAATGAATGCAGTGTGTGTTTGTGTAGTGTGTATATAGTGAATGCAGTGAGTGTTTGTGTAGTGTGTATATAGTGAATGCAGTGAGTGTTTGTGTAGTGTGTATATAGTGAATGCAGTGAGTGTTTGTGTAGTGTGTATATAGTGAATGCAGTGAGTGTTTGTGTAGTGTGTATGTAGTGAATGCAGTGAGTGTTTGTGTAGTGTGTATATAGTGAATGCAGTGTTTGTGTAGTGTGTATATAATGAATGCAATGTGTGTTTGTGTAGTGTGTATATAATGAATGCAGTGTGTGTTTGTGTAGTGTGCGTAAAGTGAATGCAGTGTGTGTGCAGTGTGTATATAATGAATGCAGAGTGTGTGTGTGTTGTGTAGTGTGTGTATATAATGCAGAGTGTGTGTGTGTTTCTGTAGGCATGTAATTTGTGTAAAATGGGGGTGGGGTGGTGGGGGAAGGAGCATTTTTTATTTTAACTTTTTTTTTTAGTCCCCATTCCCTGCTTCTTACTTGGCCAGGGAGGGGGGATATGGCATTCCCTGGTGGTCCAGTGGCATGGACTGTGCAGTGGGGACCCACAGCAAGCTCTTACTTACCTTCCCAGCAGCTCCCTTGTCTAAATCTCACGGCCTGTGTGCCGCGTGGAGCGCTGCCATGGTAACCCGTTGCACCGCTCTGACGGCCGCAGGACTCGCGAGATTTACACAGGGGAGCTGAAGGGAAGGTAAGTAAGAGCTTGATGCAGGCCCTGTCATGGGCCCAGCGGTCCTGGTATATATTATCGGCTTCTCTACAGGTTGATACCGATATTGCCGAAAATACCGAATATCAGCCGATAATCGGTCGATCCCTAGTAAGAGCATTATAGATGTAATCCACATCTGGAGTGCCATAAGTTGCCTAGCCCTGGATTGGGTTTTGCATACCTTTGGGGTAGCAGTCGTAGTCTTTAGACGACTTCCTGAAGCCTTGTTCTGTAGGATATTGGAAGAGCTTAGACCTATGTCTTGCTTATGGTTTCCAATGCTGGGACGAAGTAAACTATTTCGGTTTAGTGGTGGTCTCAAACCCCCTCTTGCATGGATTGCTTGAGCTTTTGGGAGATTCTGAAGGACAACTGTCTCTTTTGTTAATTTCTGGGTTAAAGGACCAGTGTTCAGTGCTAGAGAGCGCCGTGCAGAAGGGATACCAGACATTGGTTGCTGTAGCTTAGATGATTCTTCCTTTTGAGAGAGATTTCTTTGGGTTCCACGGAAAAGCAGAGTACCTCTGGGAATATCTTTTTTTACTTGGGTATTCCCAGCTGTGGACTGTATTCCAAGTGAATCTTGCGGTGTTGGTATCTTTTGAGGCACATGGGCCTTATCTGTTGGCTCATCTGCAACTGAGCAGAAGGATAGGTTGGGTTCATGCGGTACAGAGTCTTTGCATGGATTCTTGAAATGAAAATTGGTTAATCCTGGAACAGGTGTAGACGTCACAAAAGAGAGTGAACCAACAGAAAAAACACTTTCGTCATGGGCATTTTCTGCCTCCTGGATATCACATGTTATGGGTTCACTCATTAGTTCTCGCTCACTGGCAATGCTTATGATATCAGCAGAACAAGACACAGCACACGTCTTACTGCATGTCTCATCTGCTTCTATAAGTTTTTCATCTGCGACTGCAGCCTGACCTGTACAGATTTCTTCCATACTCTCTGTTAAAGTGTTCGTCTGCAACTGGTTTTCCACAGGCATCTGCGCGTTACAAATCCCAAGTGACTGGTCTGGTGGCACCTTTAGCATGTGGTCCGTTAAATAACCATCATTTGTGGGGACTGTAGAGTCAACAATGAGTTCTGTGGTTTGCACTGGATAGACAATAGCATTTTCTGTGATTGAAGTAATTTCTTGGGCAATTGGACTCCCTTCCTTTAAAGGTAAAAGAGACTGAACCCTTTCAGCTACAATGTCCTTGGTGGCTTCGGAAGAATAGTTTCTCTCAGGTGCTGCTACAACATCCAGTGCATTACAGGCAGAGTTTTTTTCATCCAGTAATGCAACGTCATGGGTGGTAATTGCAGCAGCTTTTCCCTCACACACTAATTCAGTATTCTGGGCAGTAGAGTCTTTATTAACCAGTAATGCAGTATTCATGGTTGAGGGAGTAGAATTTTCACTGTGTACCAATGCGTTACCCTTGGGTGTAGAGGCAGCTGCATTGCTCTTTTGCACTAGTGTAATACCAGGAGTGGTAACGGCAGCAGAATTTCCCTCATGCTCTAACACAACATCTTGGGTGGTACTGGCAGCTGCATTGCTCTCATGCACTAGTGCAATACCAGGAGTGGTAGCGGCAGCAGAATTTCCCTCATGCTCTAACACAACATCTTGGGTGGTACTAGCAGCAGACATTTCCTCATGCACCCATGCAATGTCTTGAGTGGTACTAGCAGCAGAATTTGCCTCATGGCCACACACAACATTCTGCATACTACTGGCAGACAATTTTGCTGCATCTTCAATAACCTGAGTGGTATTGGCTAAAGAATGCTCAGAAAGCACCGGCATTATTTGCATTGCAGCATTCACTAGATAGGGGCTTGCGGTCGTGACCTCATTTTGCATCAACAGAATGTCCAGCGTGGCATTGGCAATGGATTGTTCAGCAGGTGATAGTACAATGTCCTGTGTGCTATTGCAGTAGGATTTAGGCACTTCTTCATTTAATTGTGTGGTGTTGGCTGCAAACGCAGAATGCACTGGAATAATCTCATGTGTAGTATTTATAGGATCTCCAAGCATAGACTCAATCACATGTGTGCTGGTGGCTGCTGCAGTCTCACAGCTCAGCGTTTCAATCTCCTGAGTAACGTTGGGAGAAACCCTGAGTGCAGATTTAACTGTCTGACATCTGTCTTCTGCAGTAACTTCATTGTGGACAGATGCAATATCTTGTGTCACAATGGCAGATGTGTTTGTCACACAGCCAACCATCAAAGTGGGCTTGGCTGCAGTGATTACACAGTGCATTTCTGCCATGTCGTGCGTAAAGTTGGCAGACTTAAGTTGAGTGTAAATGGCACTGTCTACATGCTGTAATACATTGTCCTTCATTGGACCAGCAGATGGACTGGGCACACATTCAATAATGTGGGTGAGGTTGGTAGCACCAGTTTGTTCAGTTATGTCTGTAGTGTTGTGGAAGAGATCAGATGGTTTAGGATCAGCATCAATTGTTGAAAAAGCTGCAGTCACCTCTTCTTGCATTGATGTTAGGTCTTTGGTGGTGTCTATGGTGGATTTAGGAGATTCCATCACTTGAGTTGTATTAGCTGCAGCAGGACCACCACACATTAGTTTGGTCTCACAGGATGACTGAAGAAACATCACTGCTTTGGATGAAGTGCAAGTATTCTTCTCAGGAAATATTTTTTGTGGACTTTCCAATGTCAACGTCATACTCATGGTCTCAAACTGTACTTTGTCTGCTAAGAAATTGCTTGGAAATGTGACCATCTTTATATTTTCCTCAGACTCTTTGCCTTTTTTATACACTGGTGATTCACATATCCGGTTAAATTCAACAGGGTTTATTTTTGGACTGGGGGAGTGCAAAGTTTGATGGTTATCCTCACACACATGCTCCAGTTTTTGTCTCTTCTTATTACAAACCTCAACATCTGCATCATAACCAAGATAAAACATTCCATCAGCAGTACAGTCTTCCCAAATATTACCACTATGGCCATACTTTAAGTCCTCCTTCAAAGTAAAATGATGGAGCTGCATGTCTACTTTTTCCAGATCCAAAAGACTTTCACCAAACATAGACTCTCCACCCCTGTTTGGGCTGCTTTCTAGGGAAGAGATCATATTGGCTACTTCACAAGCCAACATAGATTTCATTGGTGTACAATCATAAGGTGGAGGCTCTGCATCAATTGTGGAAACATCAAGTTCATCTAGCTTTCTTTTACCTGGACTTTTTCGCTCAGTTTCTGTACCTTCTAGCTGACTGACAATTTCCTGGCACTCTGTTGCAAAGAAACTTCTGTACAATGGTGGCTGTACTGGGCTGTCACTTATCACAGTGTCAAACTTGATATTGTTTTGTAGCTTATCCATCCTAGATGTCCTTTCTGGACTCAAATGCTCACTGGACTCTAACTCTACTTCCATGACTGGTGTTAGCTTTTTCTTTCGCTGAGCTTTTGATGCCATTGGAGTACTAAAATATTTCATATTGTTGCTCGACATACCTTCAGAAAACTCAAGTACTGAACTTGACGTAGCATTGTCTGTGAAGTAAGCTTGTGCTGATTTAGAGATTTCTCTTAGTTTAGAAAGGGTATTGCCTTCTTCAGTTACGAAAGGCACAGAAAAAGTGCCCACCTCTACAGAGGATGAAAGTCTAGTTTTGGACTCCATTTCCTTTTTTATGCTATGCGGATAGTTCTCATTTTCTTTAAAGCCATCCTCTTTTGAGCGGAGATCCATCATTAATTTCCCACCAAAATCTGAAAAATAACTATTAGTCTGTTTTCCTAGTTTCTCTTTTAGTCCACTGGATTTCCTGGCTACAGATGAGGCGGAGCAGGTTGGGTCAATTATCCTCCTTTTACATGCTTCCTTTCCTGTGGAAAGAGGCTGCTCAGCATGCAGCTTTGGTAGATTGCTGGTGTCTTAACACTACATCATGCATCTGATCCAAATGAAAATGGTCTTTTCCAACTGGCACCCTGTGTTTTATCAGAGTAAGTTTCTCCAGGTTTAATTTCACTTTGGTTCTTCAACCTAGAAGAAAAAAAATAAACATCAAAGTATGAAAGCTAGGGGGCATTCCTAAAATATTTATCAGCTTAAAATCCACTGTACTGTATTTTTTGCAGTGCAATGATCAGTTGATCTTACAGGTTTTTGTTAATATATTCCAAAATTGGCTTTTGTTCCAAGCCTTGTATTTGTTTGAAAAACCATGGTTTTGTTTTTGATTTTGTACGACGACGACACACAACAACCCCCCCCCCCCCCAAAAGAGCAAATGTAGATCTTAGCAATCCAGTTACACACAAAAAATCTAATTAAAATGTAGGAAGTTGTATTCTTCTCATTCGACAACTGGGCTTTGAGATACTATAGAAAACATTAAAAAAAAACTAATTTCAAATTAACAAACCTCTTAAAGGAACATTCCAAACAAAATATGCATATTATGCCAGGAGCACCACCTCCCCGCACATCAGTAATCTAAGTTTTATAACAGTTTGACTTCTAACCCAAGGTCCCGCCAGCATCAATCCAAAGCCTCCTCCCAGCAGCCAGAATATCCTGCCTAGGAGCTTCTAACAGTTCTCCTAAACTAAAGGGACACTCCAGACCCCTAAAGAAATTCAGCAGCTGCTTTAAGTTTGAAAAGCGTATTTTTTCATTTAAAAAAATAAATGCACATTTCAATTGAAATTGGCACTTTTATAAATTAACCTTATTACACCCCCGTGGCGATTTATTAGACCACCAGTCCTTTTACTTCCTTGTGTTTCGCTCAGTGGCGCTAAAAATCAAGAAGTAGGCAACTACTCAGAGAACATGTCTTGCAAAGACGTCTCATTGAGCTGAATTTGGAAGTCTGTGATTGGACAGCTACAGAAAGTCCAATTTTTGATTTTTTGTGTATTGCATGCAAGTATTGTGGTCTGTAAACTAATCTACATATATTGTCTAGCAAATCATGAAGAAAAAAAAAATATGGAGAATTTTAGAATAACGTTATTAACCTGTAGTGAATACGAATAAACTGTTAGGTTGTGCTAAAGTTGAAGACCATAAAGTTCTTCCTTAAAGGAACACTCCAACCAACATCACCACCACAGCTGCTTTAACCTGGCGCCTTCACACAGTAAGATAGTAAACCAGTGGTTCCCAAACCTTTTAGGTTCAAGGTGCCCTTAATATTTCAGTATTTTTCCAAGGCACCCCAAGTCAAGGTTGTATATCTGTACAGCAATGCGGCATTTACTGGTGCTATAGTGTAATGTACAGTGTTGGTGTTTAAAGGGATGCTTGTATACATTTATTGTGTTTTAATACAGGGGTGTGTTTGCACGTAATGTTCACTTTTAAACGTGGGTGTACATTTGTGTGAAGTATTTGAGTGAAGGGCTGTGTTTGTTTATAAATATTTTTTGAGCTTGAATGCAGGGGTGTGTTTGTATGTAATATTTGTGTTAGATTGCAGGAGTGTGCTTGTATGTTGTGCTGGTGTTACATACATACACAGATTTTCATGCACATTAACACACAGATGCAAATAATTACACTGACACATACACTGACATACACAAACATTGATACATGCCCACACCATGACACAGATACACACACTGGCACATACACAGATGTGTACACACACCATGACACAGAAGCACACTGATATATATATATATATATATATACACACGTGTTTTTTTTTTTTTTTTATATCTCCAGCCACCCTCATGTTAGCTTACCTTGTGTGTCCAGGAGAGTGGCTTGTGTCCTGTTCGTGCTCCTCTCCCCTCACACGCCGTCTCTCTGCATGACGCTGGGAGGAAGTGACAAGCTGTCACTTCCTCCCAGCATTACAGGGGTCCGATTGCGGTCTTAAAGGACTGCAGCACTCAACCGGGTCCCTGTTGAGCAGTAATGTTTCCCCGGTGCTATAATGATAGCAATCGGGAAACATACTGGGGCACCGCGGCACACAGTTTGGTAACCGCCGTAGTAAGCCATTTTAGTACAGTTTGACTAGTTACCTGTGGTCTTGCATCCCACCATCGGGTTATCACTAACTGTGGTGGTTATGGTGCTTGGAGTGTTTCTCTGAGTAAAACTCTGGAGTTAAACATACAATAACAGGCAGGGCCCTCCATAGTGACGTGTGTGTGTGTGTGTGTGTGTGTGTGTCTCCCCCCCCCTATGGCCCCCTGCCCTCAGGGGACACTGGCATTCCTGCTGTAACCCTATGAGAGCCAGAGGTACAGGTAACACGTGACCATGCAGTGCAGACAGCACAATATAACTCCCTTTTCCCGATATACCGTTTCGCAGACACGGCATACTGACCCGGAGTGAGGCTGTCTGAGCCGCCGGCGGGATGCGGGCACCGATCCTCCAAGATCACCTCACCAACGATCTGTCCAGTGCTACTTCGAAAAGCGCTCCTAACACGCTATTGGCCGGCTGGCGGCACGTCACGACCTCGCGTCCAATCATGTTCGCCAAACGCCTGGCCCGGTCACGTGGTTTTCACTGGGAACTGAAGCCGAAGCACCATTTTTCAACAGGGCGGAAACATGCCACTACTAAACCGGAAATACGTCACTGATGGCCAGCGCCTCTAGGCTGTGTAAAGCACTGGGTACCAGTGTCGGGGTATTATTTTGGACTACAACGAAGTGTCTGTGGTTTTATTATTGGTTCTCCAAAACGCTCGTATATCTACTTAGGAGCCTCTGGTTATCTCTAGGATGATTTATCCATCATAAATTTTCGTTGAATTGCAGATTGTAGATCTCCTCTGTGCCTGTCAGGTTGTAATAATTGTTGGCCTGGTGATCTGTTGTATGATTCAAATACGGCATCTTCTGATCTGCGTTTAGTGTATGTTTACAGCAGTGTTTGTGTTAAAATTCCTCTGCACGGGTGTGTTGTGTATGTTTACAGACTGTTAAGTGTTTTTATTACACTTGTTTGTGTTTTAGTTGTTGTGACAGACTGCTGCCTCAACTTGAGGGTCTAGCTAACCCTGGTATAATAATGGGGAACTCTTATAGTCTCCCTGGTGAGGCTATAGAAATTGTGAAAAATCACCAAGGCAAGGATTCTGTGACAGGCATTAGATCTATGCTAAGGAAAGCAGGAATGACTCCAGAAGGGAGCTTGGATCCACAAGTATAGAAAGAAATTATGGCAAAGTATAAAGGATGGCTTGAGGATAAAAGGTTAACAGAGAAAGCCCAAAAATGGCATGATACTGCAGTCAAACTGGCACAGTGTGGCTGTAGAGAGATTACTAGAAGGGGGATACCCTATTATCAATGTTATGGGTTGTTGCATGATGCTTCACCTAAGGAAACTCAGCCTCCTCCTTACCCCAAGCAGTCACACAGTACATATGATATTACGAAAACCCTACAGGTGTCCACAGTAAACCCAGTCACTGGACACTCTTATTGGACTTGCCCCACCTGGCAGTGGAATAAACCTTGGTGGGAAGATAAGTGCCGTAGCTGTGGTTTCCCTAGACCCCCACAGCATATGCTTATGCCCATGCAGCTAAAGGGTGGGTTGGTGCCTGCCAGTAGTGGCTCAACTGTGGATATGGACCAATCTGTTGCAAGTCGAAATGATGCCGCTGGTCGGGTGCCAACACCTCAATTAAGCCAGTGGTGGGAGTATAAACCATGGTCGTTCTCAGACCAGCTGGCTATGTTAAAACAATTACCCAAACCCCGAGGACTCTCCTATGCTCCTTGTAAACGCCCTTGAGAGTATTAGAGACACTTAGAACTGCTCTTGGGGTGATTTAGAATCTCTGCTCCGTGCTAAAGCTTGTCCAGCCATGGCCAATGTAATCAAAGATACTACTGATGTTGAAAAGGGGATAATACAAGCTGCCCTACATAACAGAGACCAACAGTGAAACAATATGATTCTGGTGAACCTTACATTAAAGCCTTAGAAAAATGGGCACAGTCCAGGCTCACTGCCCTTTCATCCCAACTCACAGATCTTACCCAAGAGAAAGGGGAGTCAGCTGAAAAATTCTTTGCCCGTTTATACCTCAGGTGGAAGAATCTCAGATATTCAGAAAGGGACTCCCTGTCCACTAGACAGCTGGTTAACTGTTTTATAGATGGCTTGCATCACCCACTCAGCACAGCCCTTAAAATAGCTAGACCTGAGTGGCATAGCCTAACTTATTCTGACTTTGTAAAAGGTGCTAAAGGTATTGAAGCCAACCACCATCCATCTAGACATAAAACAGCAGGTGCCACTAGACTAATGGTAAATCAGACGTCTAGGAGCCCCCACCGTTCAAATCAGAGCCAGCGTACTGGGGTCCTGTATACTGGAATTGCAATACAATAGGACACATCAGGAGAAACTGCCCCTGTCCACCTGGACAAAATCAGCAGCGTCAGCAATCCAGCTCAGTTAAACTAGGATCAAATCCTTCCGCTGCCCCATAGGACAGTGACAAACCAGTGTCTTTGCACTCTATTGTTGTGTCTAATGGCTCGGGTCCTACGCCTGTTTTGCCTGGTAACAGAAAAATACCCTTTCTTTTAGACACTGGGGCAGTGCGTTCCTTTGTGCAGGAAAACATTTTTCCCTATGAAAAATCGAATTATGTATTAACATGTGTGAGGGTGGATGGGACTCCGACTGACATTCCTTTGTCTCACCAAATGAAACTTAGGCTTCATGACTCGACTGCCTTGGTCACTAGATTGCTTTTCAGTCATACTGCTCTTGTAAATCTACTTGGCAGCGATATTCTATCTGCCAACATACAGTTCAGCTCCACTGGTAACGTGACTTTGTCTTTGCCCCTTAAAGATAACTGTCTCATACCACTTGCCAGTGTGCTGGCAAATCTTTATTTGTCCAGCACTATGACAGAACCTACTCTTGACTTGACAACTGTCCCTGACTCCCTATGGGCACAGGGAAAGACATATACCGGACGACTTTCTCTCCCTCCTGTACAGGTTAAGTTGGTGCCGAATGCCACTCCACCTTGCCTTAAGCAATACCCTCTCAACCCAGCCCAAGAAGATGCTATCACTTAATCCATCCAAGAGTTATTGCAGTCTGGCATAATTATACCAACCACCTCTACCTGCAATAGTCCTCTGTACCCTGTTAAAAAGAAACAGGAGAAAGGCAAGCCAGTGGTATATCGCATGGTGCATGATTTAAGAGCTGCTAATGCTGTAACTGAATTGATTGCTCCTAATGTTCCCAACCCTCATACATTGCTGTCACAAATTCCACCTTCCTCTAAGGTGTTTACTGTCATTGACCTGGCAAATGCATTCTTTTCTGTACAATGGCACTCAGACGGTCAATACCTTTTTGCATTCACACACAAGCACAGACAAAACACACCGACGGTGTTGTCTCAAGGTGCTCAGAATTTGCCTACCATGTATAGCATGGCAATGGCCCAAATTCTAGAAGCTTGGCCAAGGGCAGAAGGTGTTGTGTTGTTACAATATGTTGATGATTTGCTTTGTAGCCAAGGATAAGGGGAACCAGATATCAGGATAACTATAAGGAATAGCCGAGTCAGGGAACCAGAACACAGGATGAACAAGAAAACGAGCCGAGTCAGGATACCAGAACGAAGAATAGTCAAAAACCACAAGCCGAGTCAAAATACCAAGATAGAAAAAAAAGATGAAACGTAGAGGAAAAACAGCTACAAAAAGCAGGTGTATCCAACTGCATGAATCTGGAGCAAAATAAAGTAGTCTCACAAACAAATATAGATGAATAAATAAAGAAATATATATAAATCTCCTTGTGATGATACAGCTAAAATATAGATAGACTGATAGTATCCCGTATCCCTAATATGTAGTATACATATGTATAGACCAGAGTAGAACATCAAAAAATGAGCTTTAATAAATCTTGCTCTAATGTGTCCTCTAAAATATCAAGTAACTCAGACTGACAAGGAAAGGGATAGAGGTATACAATAACAAAAAGTTACCACTAGAAAAAACCTCTAAACAGTAATATAAAATACCTAGGAAGGGAGATCCCAAACCAGGTATATAGTATGGACTGATGTAATAATATCCAGAATGTAAATATGTACAGATAATAGGAGGATATAGATATCGTGGCGCTTAGAGTGCCCACGGCATATCTATTAGACAGAGCAAGAAAAAATGAAAGTGAATATGTAGAGGGAAAATAACAGAAAGTTGCTTAACAGACTGTGTAACCGTCAAAATAGAAACATAGTATCCAGTACCCTAGCTTACATATGTTTGTCAAACTCGAATAGTGGTAAAGCAAAAAATATATACATATTAATAAGTCTATCTATTGATACAATAGATGTCAACAAAGCCTTACAGTGCCATATAGTGAAATATGTGGGCAAACCAGTGATGTCCGAAAAAACGGACAGTGAAAACGCCTGACGCGCGTTTCAGTGCTCTTACTAGCACCTTCGTCAGAGGCAAATCTGAAACTGCTCGATATGGGCTTAAAATACCCCATTCAAGGGGTCTCTTATCCAATGGGAGTCCTCCACATAGCAAGGGGCGGGACCAACTATTTCCCGCGCTAGCACAAGCTAATTAGCTCCATCGGAAGAAGTGGGACGGACATAGCTTCTCTATTAACATAAACTCCTCCCACTTTCCTCCGTAAGTGGAAAAACTGTGTTATAGCATATTGGATGTTAGAAGGAAGTTAAAAAGACTGCAAAGGAGGATGAGTGTATTATAGGTCTATTGGAAAGAGATGTAAACAAATTATATATATATATATATATATGTAACCAACATGAATTCTTAACAGCTCCTTTTGAGGTTCTATAAATATATAGCCATCTGGTGGATCCACAAAGCTATATATATAAATCTACAAATAGTGGTACCATGTCCATATAGGATACCTAGGTATGTATCATAAGCCTTAGTATGTTATACTATAGGAAATCTAGATACAGATGTTTTGGTATGAAAACAGTAGTACATATATCAGAGTGTATATAAAAGATCAAAGAGATCTAAAAGATGTCATACAGACACACACATCTGTAAAGGTTGATTATATACTCTTATTTCTAACAACTCATCAAGTTGGTATATGAAAGGATACATATGAAGATACATATATATAGAGGACCACAAGTACTTGAATATTAAGATACATTAATCAGTATATAGTGACTATATGTGAATACTTTGTCCTTCATATGTTACCATATAACTTAATAGACCATACAGAAATGAGCATATATTACAGTATTCCAAGTTCAAGTACAGGAGCTCAAACATCAAATTAATGATTAAATGTCAAGTGGAGTCCCTATAGTCTAAAGGGGTATTGTGCTCTAAATGTTACCAATGAGCAGGATCAAACAAAAGCATAAATAAAGAAAAAGTGATATATTAGAAGTAAGAAAAAACCATTAGTTAAAAGAAGTATCATAAAATTAATGTGAGAAACCAATATTATGTAAACAGTAATGGATCATGTAGCATAGCCAGAATTTTAGTCAAAATTGTTAATCAGGGATAAAGGGTGTAAATGAAAACCCTTCATTAAGGCCCATAGGGGAGAGAGTTTTTAATCTATATATCCAGATGCTCTCTCTTTGTAGGAGTTTTCTGTCAAGATCTCCTCCCCGCGGGCCAAGTGTAACTTTTTCGATACCACAGAAACGTATGATTTCTGCGGACCCTCCATGATGGAGTTTTAGATGTTTTGAAATAGGAGTATCAACTAGTCTCCTAGGGTTAACGGATGTAATATGTTCTCAGATCCTCTGTTTAAATGCACGGATCGTCTTCCCCGGATCGTCTTTGGATTCACGCTAGTCACTGTAAATTGGTGCCTAATCCAGAATGAAGCTACTTTTCATATCTTTGTCTGCTATATTGACCTTGACCTTCTGTACTATTCCTGGGACTAGGTTCAGTGGTGTATCCTGGTTTTGTGCTGCCCCGCCCCCCGCCCCACACACACACAGTCAGACACACACATACACTCACATTAACACTTTTTTTTTTTATTATTTAAACCCCCTCCCCCCCCAGCCTCCTTACCTTTGGGAATGCTGGGGGGGGGGTTCCTCTCGCTCCCTGGGGGCGGCTAGCGAGGGAGCACTTCCCCTGAGCTGTCTGCTCAGCTCCCTCGCGCGCCGCCGAGTGAGGCTGGGAGCCGGAAGATGACGTCATATTCCGGCTCCCAGCCTCACTCTGCGGCGCGCGAGGGAGCTGAGCAGACCGCTCAGAGGAAGAGCTCCCTCGCCAGCCGCCTGCCCGACCATCAGCCCGCACGCCCGCCCAGCATGTCAGTTAGCCGCAAGGCTACCAAGGCATTTGCCCTGGGCATTTGGGGGCGGCGTTTTTTGCCGCCCCCTGAAAAATGCCGCCCAAGGCAAATGCCTTGTTTGTCTCGCGGCTAATACGTCCCTGACTAGGTTAACAGATCATTCAAACGAAACTATAATGTTTGGGTGGGACAGAGGAAATTATGACATGTCTCAGGACAATTACACCTGCTTTGCCAACACTAATGTCCCTCCCCAGCTGCAGACTGGCTCGCATCACAAAAGATAATGGACATTGGTAAAGGGGGGAACAGGGTCGACTCTACCTAGCCAAAGACATGACTACTTTCAATGTGACAAAATGTCTCTATTTCTTTTGGGTTCATCAACAGCTCATGCATTAAAGAGTTCGATTGGGGAGACCGTGATGGAAAAACAGTGACTAAGGTAGTGAGATGTTTGAAAGAGCGACCTGTGACTGTGAGTGCTAGTATGGTGGTGAACATGACTGACCTCCACACCTTTGCATGTACTAACAATTCAGTAATACAGATATGGTTGTCACTTGTAACTAATATGGGGATGAAGCCAAGGGTTTCTGCTGACAATCTGGTCCGTCTTCCAGCTACATGTCAGAATGTTTCTACCAAAGTGGGCCTCCATGTGAGATATCAAATGCTGTTCCCAGAAATACCTAAATGTAAGCCCTGTTCCAGACCAAAGAGAGAATGGTATGAAACTTTGTTAGGAGCTACAGGAACAGCTACAGGGTTTCTAAATGCTATGGATCTAGAGATGGTGAGAAATAAAATAGCAGGTATAGGCAGAGATTTGGACAGTGCACTCAAGTTACAAGCCCAATGGATGACTACCATATTTCACCCTCAAGCCAATACCCTATCGTACAACAACAAGACCCTTCAGCTATTTAACACGAGTGTATATGCAGCCCAGCAAATACTAACCAATTTCACTGAATACATTAAGTATACTGCTTGTAGTCTGCAATATATATATATATATATATACACATGCTTCAGCAGAAAGACACTGCACAAATGAACCCCCTGAATCTAAAGGCTTCCACTGCACGCAATATGTTTGGTAAACGTGTTAACCCTGATATGTGGCTTAGAATTGATACTAACCAACAAAGCTGTAATGATACAATGTGCATAGGCAGCTTTACTGCCTACAATATTGAACAATATGATATGATGTGTAAATTCCTCATGCTTCCAGTTATCTTTGGTCCACCCCTTTATTCTTCCCAGTATTGGACACCTAAGTTTTCAGGGGATCTGATTGACACCAAGAATGTAACCCACCATAGTTCCCATTGCATTCAGGTTTAATTTGCGGACAGACTTCTAAGATAGAGGAGCCTAGTATGCTTCAACAAAGTGTGTGTAATTGGACAGTGTCCCCTGATCCGATAGACATGTATATGGAACTCGCCCCTTTGTATATTTGCCTTACATGTTCACAGCCAGATACCAACAAATTTCTGGGAGTCCCTATGCCGTTTGCAGGATGCTTTCAGAATCTGACAATGCTCAAGTGGTTCAATGACACGATTACCTTTATCCCGAATGCAGAATGAACCATTACTTCCACCTGGCACCCACAAGCTCTGAATCTGGATACTCCTTCTGTCTCTCTACAACCCTTAACATTGTCAACAGACCCCCTAGCTAAACATTTAGTTATCATTCACCACTCTTTGCACACAGTAGAGAAAAGAACTGTCATAGTTACTAAAACTACACAGCATAGGTAACAAGATAGTGGCAGATACAGGACATCACCGGTATGATATTTTTACAGGGTGGTCTCCCTGTGCTAAAGGAGTTTTAACCCCTTAAGGACACATGCCATATGTGACATGTCATGATTCCCTTTTATTCCAGAAGTTTGTTCCTTAAGGGGTTAAACATAATATTGCACCCACTAATTGTTGTGATATTTTTTCTTCTTCTTACCCGTTTAAACCTATGGATGTATTGCAAAATGATACGTGGATTTAATAACACATATTATCCTGTAACCCACAGATATCTGGACAAGTCTTTCTTGATGGCTCCTTTGGTGTGAGATGGCAAGGAAACTGAGGTGAAGATCTAATTAAAGTCCCACAGGTATAACTAGTATACCTGGATATACCTTGCCTAGAACTCTTACCAGTGGTGCCAAAAGAGGGGAATTATCATAGATAAAAGGTACATAAAGGGTTACAGCCTTAGCCAAGTACTTCAACGTCTGCAGGGGTTAAAAGATAAATAGTTTTGTCAGCAGTTTCTGCAGATGTTGTTTCTGTTTCTCATAAAATGTTATGTTTGCTTTAACCTTACATAATTTAGATAACACTTTCAAGTAAGCCATTGATTCTATGGTTTTATTTTTTTATGAACACATGCGCAGTAGACTAATTACCCTTTTATATATACGATGCTCTCCCATTAAAGATTGAGAAGATGATTTTGGACTTCAACAAAGTGTCTGTGGTTTTATTATTGGTACTCCCGAGCACTCATATCTAATTAGAAGCCTCTGATTATCTCAGGGATTATTTATCCATCATACATTTTCTGTATCATGGGTCAGGCTACACCTCCGGTCCTCCTACGCCATCAGCCAGCAGGGGGGACCTAATGCGCAGCAAGTGCCGCAAGTGCATTAGGACTTACCCCAGAGTGTGTGGACGTCCAGCGTCAGGCCCCCAAAAGTCACCTAACCACCTGAAAGTCCCTCTAGTGGGTACAATAATGCCCCCCCCACACACACACACATGCCCCGTGTACAGTTTTTAATGGTGTTTTGGAATGTTACAGGGCCAAATACAAAACTTGTCCATAGCAGTTTTTACACATTGCCTTTTGGCAGATTGGTTTCTTGGGTCTTTGAGCCCAAGAATTAAATTATCCCTATAATGGCATACCATTTGCACAATTACACAACCCAAAGTATCCAATATTGAACATTCTTTTCTAAAACACTAATTTTACTCAGGAAGGGTTAAAATAGGGGGGAAGGGTCAGATTTTAAAGGAGCGCTATAGTGTCAGGAAAACAAACTCGATTTCCTGGTACTATAGGGTTATTAGGTCCCCTCCTCCCGCTGGGCTGAAGTGGTTAAAACTCCTTCAGCCACTTACCTTAATCCAGCGCAAGTGACCTCTCCTCCCCCTGCCGACGTCGGCTCCGAATGTGCATGCGCAGCCAGAGTCGCGCGCGCATTCAAACCGCCCATAGGAACGCATTACTCAATGCTTTCCTATGGACGTCAGCGTGTCCTGGATGCGATTTTCGCATTGAGGATTGCGGAAGCGGTCTCTACTGGATAAACGCTCAATGTAAACATAGCAGTTTCTCATTGAGCTGAAGTGGTCTGGGTGCCTATAGTGGTCCTTTAACCAAAATCTGACAAAAAACAAAAACAAAGCAGAACTATTGTACCAATCACAGTATTAGCACTGTGATTAGCAGTGAAACTGCTTGGAATACTGAGGTTTGAGAGAGAATACAATGTCACAATCAATGATTTCTATCAGTGATCGTGGTGACAACCTGTCACTGCAATCACATAACCTAGATCTCAATCGATTGGCTGTTGGGAGACTGCCTGGGTTAATAGGCAGTACCCCTGATCGGATCCAACAAGATGAGTATGATGAGGTTAATTCTGATTTAGGCAGTTGTCTCTTCTTCTCAAAATTGTTCGGATCCATTTAACTGCCTTGATCTGATATCTATAGTGAGTCCTCCAAAACATCATCGTTCCTACTTCTAAACTCCACCAGCCATCTCTTGAATTTCCATACTCCCTCCTTGTAAATTCCATCTGTCCTCAGGTGGCATGCTGGGGTTGTGTACTTATGTCACATAGTTATAATTTTACAAATATAAAAAGATTGTGTGCTTGTCACATGTTCAGATGCTTACATAGAATAAGCTCAACTGTTTACTTATAAACAAAAAAACGTTTAACCCCTTAAGGACTGAGCCAAATGTACACATTGTGATCAAAACAAAACGTAAACAAAAACTTGAATTTGCGCTATATGTCTGTTCAGGCGTAATTTGCCTTTCATATTATGTATTATTTTATTCAGGGGAAACAGGGCTTTCATTTAACATCAAATATTTAGGTATAAAACAATTTAATATGAATACAATATTTAAAAATGGGAGAAAATAAGAATTCTTAATTTAATTTTTTTAGCTCTACGTGACATTTTAACTGTGATTGTCATAATACTGTTTGCTTTTACTGCAATAAAAATACAGATATTTGTATTCAGCGATGTCTCACGTATGAAACAGTACCCCCTATGTACAGATTTTATGGTGTTTTGGGAAGTTACAGGGTCAAATATAGCATGTTAAATTTTTCAGTTTTTTCACATTGAAATTCGCCAGATTGGTTACGTTGCGCCTTTGAGACCGTAGGGTAGTCCAGGAATGAGAATTACCCCATGATGGCATACCATTTGCAAAAGTAGACAACTCAAGGTGTTGCAAATGGGGTATGTCCGGTCTTTTTTAGTAGCTACTTGGTCACAAACACTGGCCAAAGTTAGTGTTATTTGTTTGTGTGTGAAAAATGCAAAAAACGAATTTGAATGCCAATTTTGGCCACTGTTTGTGACTAAGTGGCTACTAAAAATGACTGGACATACCCCATTTGCAATATCTTGGGTTGTCTACTGTTGCAAATGGTATGCCATTATGGGTGTAATTTTCATTCCTGGGCTACCATACAGTCTCAACGGCAACATAACCAACCTGGCAAATTTCAATGTGAAAAAAGTGAAACGCAAGCCTTATATTTGACTCATAAAACCTGTAAATGAGGGGTACTGTTATACTCGGGAAACTTTGCTAAACACAAACATTACTGTTTCAAAACAGTAATACGTATCACAACAATTGTATCGTCCATGTAAGTGCCATTTGTGTGTTAAAAATGCAAAAAATTTCACTTTCACTGACGATATCATCGTTGGAATACGTTTTACGGTTTTGAAACACTAATTTTATTACATGACAGGAGGCTTCCTATTTTGCATGACTTTCTTTACTCATGCATCAATCAATAAACTTTTAACCAATCATAAAAGAGTACATAACCATATATAAAGCTCTGATTGTCACATGACTTCCTCTTTCTTTGCTGCTTCCAGCCAAGGCACAGGTCAGAGTATTCTGCTCTCACTATTTGTTTATTAAGTGTGCAATTTTTACGGTCTCTTTAATTGATGCTTGCTTACTCCCTCCTTTACTGTCTGTTCCCCTTTAAATACACTTAGTTTTCTGCCTGCTCCCTCAGCTTTTTTATTGTTTGTTTCTCTTGTGGGGTTTACCCTGTCACTGGGACTGCACTTTCCTTTGCCTCTGGTCTGTTTGGTCCCTCGCGATTCGCGGCATTTTACCGCGATCGCGCGAGACCGTGGGGTCTTTCCAGGGGCTCCAAGGGCTGGGGGGGGGTAACTGGGGGACACAGGGGGGTGCTGGCCAGGACCGTCGGATCGCTGGCCGCGCGGCGAAATTTGCGCGGGAACGGCGGCCATCTTAGATCTCGCGGTATCGCGAGATCCTCGGCGGCCATCTTAGGTTGCCAGTTCGTGATCCCCACTAACTGGCATAGAGCTTGTAACTGATTTCCCCAAGGTTTTACACTGAAGTCCAAAAGTTAACCCCTTACTCCCTGGCTACAGGAGAGTTACTGCAGGCACATAAACTGAAAATAAAGCATAAAGGAATACTTACCTGATTGGCAGGGCAACTCTCATGGACTGCTCAGGCTGCTATACTTAAAGGCTAGCTCTCACTGAGGGCACTGGTGGTTGACCCACAGGGGTGCATACACTGAAGACAGGATACATAGAAATCTGACACTGCTATTAGTGAGGAGAAAGAAAAAAAACAAACAAAAAAAAATTAAAATTTACACAGGGGTGCTCTTCACGCCCACTCAAGGGCTTATAGCAACGTACGCTTTATTGTATGCGGCACCTCCATGGTACAACTGGGGTGATCCACGCAATTCACTGCCTGTTGGTAAAAGATCCCACAGTGGCGTAACTTCCACAAATTTCATGCAAAAAAAAAAAAAGCGTACTGAGATCTTTGACACCTCCCATCACCGGGCCTCGTCCCAACCATTAACGGGCCTCGTCCCGACCATTACTGGGCTTCGTCCCAACCTTAACGACCGTGCACCCCGGTCGATGAGAGGGTGACCCCCTCTACAGACCACTACTCAAACTCCTAGTGGTACTGATTATATGGTACCTGGGTGACCCCCAGTTGTACGTGGAAGCCACTGTGTAGCTACATACGCACTGACGTATACCATATCTACCCACAGACAGGAAGAACGAACTGCCACCATGCCAGACACTCCTCGATCATCGCCCATGGATTTCCAGGCCATGATCAATGCTGCAGTGCCGCGCCTCCGACAAGAAAAGAGGATAAAGATCCCACCGAGTCCAAGGCGGAGGCTGGGCCGTGCAAACGACAATGGAAGGGATCCAACACGACCCTGCAGAGATGGGAGGGGAAGGTGTCGCGGAAGCGGAGCCACCAGTCTAGGCGCCCGGAACGCTCCCCTCCACAGCCCCCTTCCTCAGGGGATGAGGAGCCATTATCTCCACCTTCATTAGAAATCATGGACGAATGGAGGGCAGAGGATTCCCCCTCGGAGGAGGAGGACTGGCAGGACATGCCTCAAGAGGTCGGAGAATGCGACCAAGGCCCCGAAAGGGCACACCGCTCAGGCGGCAAAAGCACACGTAAAGTGCATACGGAGGTATATGAAGATGGGGTGTTTCTGGACGGGACAGGTAACCCCTTGTTTGATCCACGCCAGATACGCCACCCCAGATCGTCAGAATGGAACCTGCCGGACCATCTGACTCAATTTGTACATTTTTGGCTGAGGAAGCCAATGGACAAGGAGGTTCGGGCCAAGCTCAAAGCAGAGTGTCCACGTCCCGTACTCCCGGACAAGATAGCCCTCACCGCAGAGTTTGATGTCACAGTGGGGGTGTTTATGTCCCGCTCGGGCAGAGACCCACGGAAAGGTGTTGAGAAGGGCATGAAATCGGTCCAGGACAAAATGCTGGACATGCTAGGTCCTTTAGCGAAGATCCTATACTTCGCAGATGTGGCCCTCACCCAGGGGACGACCCTCGAGGTACACGACATTAGAGAATGGGCACAGCGAGCGATCTGCCTACTAGGGAATTCCAATGCCGCCATGTGCGCAGAACGCCGTAAAGCGGCTTTATTGAAGATAGACTCCAAACTGTTGGACCTGGGGAAGAAAGAGCTAGGCCCCCTGGCGGATGGACTGCTCTTTGGAGAACCATTCATGGCAGAACTGAAAAAGCACGTAGGCCTATTCACTACACTGAATCATCTATTAGAAACTACACTACACAATCATCTATTAGACAAGTCTTTCGGAACCCACAGACAACTCAAGGTGTTTTTGGCAGGGCTGGTCAGCAGAGGGGTCGGTCCACCAGCCGTTTCTGGCCATCCGGCCCCAGTCGCCCATACGCTACGCAACAGTTCTTCCCATCTGCAAGAGCCAACTTCACAAGGGGATCCTTGCGTACAAGGGGCACTCGGAACAGAGGAAGGGGACGTTACAACTCAGGTGAGCATGAACTATCTTCCGTTATGTCCTTCAAATATAACTGCTGGCAGACTGTCCCCTTTTCCGCAGGAATGGGAACGAATCTCCACAGACGCATGGATCCTACAGACCGTGCGAGGGTACGTGATAGAATTTACCCGTACGCCAGTTCAGATCAGGCGACCATCACCTATCCGGGCGTCAGAGAGTCAGAGACGCCTCATAGACACGGAGATACGAACCCTGTTCGTAAAGGGAGCGGTGGAACTTGCCCCAGACGACCAGGGTTACTTCAGCAACATGTTTGTTGTCAAGAAAAAGACAGGAGACTACCGCTCAGTCATCAACTTACGAGAACTGAACGGATTTGTGGCTTACCGCCATTTCAAAATGGAAGGTATTCACCTTCTGAGAGATCTGCTGAACGAACGCGACTGGTTCACACGCTTGGACCTAAAAGACGCCTACCTGTCGGTTCCCATGGCTCGAGAAGGGGTCGCCCTTGTCAATTCACATGTCTACCATTCGGCCTCAGTTTGGCTCCATGGTGTTTTACAAAACTTCTCAAACCAGTAATGGCCCATCTGAGAGGAAGAGGAATACGCTGCCTCGTGTATCTGGACAATTTGTTGATCTTTGGCGACTCCAAGTCCAGAATTCAATCTCAGACGAGATTTACCATACACTTTCTGGAATCATTGGGGTTTATAGTGAACAGAGAGAAGTCATCATTGGCTCCATCACGAGTAGTCCAGTTCCTCGGGTTCGAGATAGATTCCAACTCTTGCGTGCTACGTCTCCCCGCATCCAAGATAGCGGCCATTCGGAAGGAGATCCGACGGATACTCAGGACAGACACCATACCTCTCCGACTATTAGCGAGGATAGTAGGACTACTCTCCTCATCAATACAAGCGATTTTCCCAGGCCCACACCGGGCAATGCAGAGACTGAAAGCCCAATATTTACGAACCGGACACACATACGATCACTGGATTACTGTCTCCACGGAGGCTCGGACGGAACTTCGGTGGTGGCTACTGCACATGGAAGCCTGGAACGGCAGAGCCATTTTCGGGGCGAACACGGACTTTGTATTGGAGTCGGACGCGAGCCTTTGGGGCTGGGGAGCCCACTGCACCCACGGGAGGTCCATGGTCTCAAGAGGAACAGGGTCTCCACATCAACTGCCTGGAACTGATTGCGGGATCGTTTGCAATTCGCAGTCTAGCCAAGGACATGGCGAACTGTTGCATCCTTCTACGCATGGACAACATTTCCGCGGTCCAATACATAAATCGACTAGGGGGAGCCCGATCAAGGATCCTGACGGAGGCGACGAAGGACATCTATCAATTCTGTATTCCCCGCAACATTACGATCAAAGCGGAATATCTACCAGGAGCCAACAACCTCACGGCGGATTGGTTTTCTCGTCACTGGCGAGACGGCAGCGACTGGAGACTGGACACTTCAGTATTTTCAATGGTGAGGGACCTCAGGGGCCCGTTGGTCGTGGATCTGTTTGCCTCTCGGACGAACACACAGTTACCAAGATATTTCAGCTGGCTTCCGGACCCTCAATGCGAGGCAGTAGACGCCTTTCTACAACAGTGGCCTCCGAGGGGAGCGTACGCATTCCCACCTTTGTCAATGATAGCAAGAGTACTCCATCGCATCAGATCAACCAAGATCTCGATGATTATCATCACACCGTTGTGGAAGAGTCAAGCATGGTTTCCGGAATTATTGGCTCTCACGCGGGACCATCCATTACTTCTTCCATCGGTTCCCTTCCTTCTGACAGATCCAAAAGGGGAACCACATCCACTAGTGGTACAGGTGAATCTGGAGCTGGTAGCCTGGAGTCTTTCAGGGGAGCCTGGTCTGTCGAGGGACTATCGCAACCAGCTAAAGACCTTTTATGGGATTCATGGGCACCGGGCACCCGACGGAGTTACCTATCAGCGTGGAATTCATGGAAACGCTGGTGTCTGGGACGGAATTGTGATCCCTTTACAGCACCTATCACCATGGTGGTAAATTTTTTGTTGCACCTCTTCACGGAGGGAAAATCCTATCGTTCCATCAATGTGACGCGTTCCGCAATTTCAGCGGCACACGTAACAGTACATGGCTCTCCGGTTGGTCAGGACCCTTTGGTATGTCGCCTAATGCGAGGCATCAAATTGTCCAGACCGCCGGAACCCAAGTATAATCACATGTGGGACGTAGAGGTGGTCCTTAACTTCCTTGGAATTGGCCAGACAATAAAGATTTGTCACTACAACAGTTGTCGGCCAAGCTTACGTTACTTTTATGTTTGGTATCCTTTCGAAGGGTTTCGGACGTGCGAGCGTTCAATGTGGATGGGTTCTCGATCTCACCAGAAGGGGTTACCTTCACGGTGTCTCGTAGAACCAAAACAAATTCAACATCTATATCTTATCCATTTTTCCCTACGGTCCCTCGTTTATGTGTGATTTCCGCACTTACGCGATATGTGGAGCTTTTAGCAGAGGGCAGCTGTTGGTGTCTTACACCAAACCTTACAAACCAGTTACCACTACTACTCTGGCTCTATGGGTTCGTTGGATCCTGTCCCTAGCAGGAGTGGAGACGTGTTTTGGGGCTCACTCGGTCAGGGGCGCGGCCGCCTCAAGAGCGTTCTCGGCGGGAGCGTCTTTAGCAGATATCCTACGTTCCGCAGACTGGACACGGGAGGATACCTTCCGTTTATTTTATTTTCGTCAGAACACACATGCATCTTTCTCGCTATTACCTCAGCTTTAAAAATGCAAAATAGGAAGCCTCCTGTCATGTAATAAAATTGTAGATTATGCTAACGTAGTGTACCTATAATCTTAATAATGACAGGAGGCGAGTATTTTCCCTCCCTTCCCTCCCATACTCTGGTTCTCTCATATGTCACCTTTTCTATTGCTTAATTGTAACCTGCATAGTTTATCTAGAGGATATGTATGGGATGTTTGAGGTAATAGACAAGGATTTGTTGATAGTAGGTTTGGATGCTAGTATATGGAGATAGGGTATTACTATTGATATAGGATATGGATAGATATAGTATCAATGATGTTATATAGACATCAGTCTATTTCCAGCCTCTTACACTCGTTTCTATTTCTTTCAGTGTGATTGCCGCTATTGGCACCGAAGAAGACAAGCCGGATAATGGATCTTACGGATCAAGTTTCAGTTCAATATGCGTTAACCCATTTGGAGTTGGATTTTATTGAAGTTGGACTTTCCAGGGAACAAGTTTGAAACACTATATCATTACGAACTTAAGTTTAGCTACTGACGTTACGTGGACTGATAGCAATTCAAAGAAAGAGGAAGTCATGTGACAATCAGAGCTTTATATATGGTTATGTACTCTTTTATGATTGGTTAAAAGTTTATTGATTGACTTGTGCTGCTGGAGGCATGAGTAAAGAAAGTCATGCAAAATAGGAAGCCTCCTGTCATTATTAAAATTAAGATTATAGGTACACTACATTAGCATAATCTACAATTGTTCAGCGAAGTCTTCTGAGTAAAACAGTACCCCCCATGTACAGGTTTTATGGTGTCTTGGAAAGTTACAGGGTTAAATATAGTGCTAGCAAATTAAATTCCCTGAATTTTTGGCCTGGGTTGACAGGCAGGTCCTGCAAACTGTAATTAATAAAATTACCTAATTCTGTACAATTATTACATAAATACATATGTAGAATTATTATAAACATACGTATATATATAAAAAATTAAAATTATTTATATATATATATATATATATATATATAATATACATACACACACACACACACACACACACACACAGTCAGGTCCATAAATATTGGGACATCGACACAATTCTAATCTTTTTGGCTCTATACACCACCACAAGGGATTTGAAATGAAATGAACAGAATGTGCTTTAACTGCAGACTTCCAGCTTTAATTTGAGGATATTTACATCCAAATCAGGTGAACGGTGTAGGAATTACAACAGTTTGTATATGTGCCTCCCACTTTTCAAGGGACCAAAAGTAATGGGACCATTGGCTGCTCAGCTGTTCCATGGCCAGGTGTGTGTGTGTTATTCCCTCATTATCCCATTTACATGGAGCAGATAAAAGGTCCAGAGTTCATTTCAAGTGTGCTATTTGCATTTGGAATCTGTTGCTGTCAACTCTCAATATGAGATCCAAAGAGCTGTCACTATCAGTGAAAAAAACAAAACAAACCCATCAGAGATAATAAAAACATTAGGTGTGACCAAATCAACTGTTTGGAACATCCTTAAAAAGAAAGAACGCACCGGTGAGCTCAGCAACACTCGGAAGACCACGGAAAACAACTGTGGTGGATTCTTTCCTTGGTGAAGAAAACACCCTTCACAACAGTTGGTCAGATCAAGAACACTCTCCAGGAGGTAGGTATATGTGTGTCAAAGTCAACAATCAAGAGAAGACTTCACCAGAGTGAATACAGAGGGTTCACCACAAGATATAAACCATTGGTGAGCCTCAAAAACAGGAAGGCCAGATTAGAGTTTGCCAAACAACATCTAAAAAGCCTTCACAGTTCTGGAACAACATCCTATGGACAGATGAGACCAAGATCAACTTGTACCAGAGTGATGAGAAGAGTATGGAGAAGGAAAGGAACTGCTCATGATCCAAAGCATACCACCTCATCAGTAAAGCATGGTGGTGGTAGTGTCATGGCGTGGGCATGTATGGCTGCCAATGGAACTGGTTCTTTTGTATCTATTGATGATGTGACTGCTGACAAAAGCAGCAGGATGAATTCTGAAGTGTTTCGGGCAATATTATCTGCTCATATTCAGCCAAATGCTTCAGAACTCAGAGTTCAGATGCGCTTCACAATGCAGATGGACAATGACCTGAAGCATACGGCAAAAGCAACCAAAGAGTTTAAGGGAAAGAAGTGGAATGTTATGCAATGGCCAAGTCAATCACCTGACCTGAATCCGACTGAGCATGCATTTCACTTGATGAAGACAAAACTGAAGGAAAAATGCCCCAAGAACAAGCAGGAACTGAAGACAGTTGCAGTAGAGGCCTGGCAGAGCATCACCAGGGATGAAACCCAGCGTCTGGTGATGTCTATGTGGGAGGCACATATACAAACTGTTGTAATTCCTACCGTTCAACTGATTTGGATGTAATTACCCTCAAATTAAAGCTGAAAGTCTGCAGTTAAAGCACATCTTGTTTGTTTCATTTGAAACCCATTGTGTTGGTGTATAGAGCCAAAAAGATTAGAATTGTGTCGATGTCCCAATATTTATGGACCTGACTGTGTATATATCTATATATATATACACACACACACATACACACACACACACACATATATATATATATATTTAGTTCTACATGTATTTTAATATATATTAATTTTAAAATACAGTTAGAATGAATTTACACATACATATTTATTTTATTTTAACGTATTTAAATATTTATTTTATATTGTAGTTAATCAATGTAATTCTATGTGTATTTTGATAATATATATATTAAAATGCACTTAGTGTGTGTATATATATATTTTATTTTAAACTGTAACTTTAACATTTATTTTACTATTTGTAGGCAGCAGGGGGAGTACCTGTCATCCCCCTGCTGGCATTGCCGTCCATGTGATTGCGAGCAATGACCTTGCGATCACATGGCCCAGGGGGCAGCCGGAAAGGAAGGAAGGGGACTCCCTGGGCTGCTCACCGGGTAAGTACATAGGACGGCTTGGGCGTTCTATGCCACCCGCTGGTGTTTAGTGCCGGGTCCCCAAGGACGGCATAGAACGCCCACCGTCCTTAAGGGGTTAATATTTGAACTAAGGCGGATTCAGAGCCAAATCTCGGGAGAGGCACTTTTAAATTATTCAAAGAAAAAATCCAAGCGGCGGGTCCGTGCTGCCGTGCTGGCACGTCCCCGCTAGACAAATTTGCGGGGGCCTGTGTGCTTTCTACCCAGAGTCAAAGACATGTAGCGACTTGCTGCATCTTCGAGTGCCCACTGTGTTGCGGAACTCTTGGTGGGCAGGCTTTGAACAGTTTGGATAGAAAGCTTGTGGTGGTCCTGCAACCTTAAGGGTATATGCTTTGTACTTTATGGGGAGCAGAGGTGCTGATCTGGTTTAACCGAAGGCTCTGGGACAGGGTTGTGATAAAGTCATTTGTGGGTTGTTGTTTTTTTCCCCTCCTTTGTTAATAACATTAATATTTATTCCCAACTGTGCGTGCTTGGTACAGGACCCTGGGAGGAGACTGGACACCTTTTTACTGGTTGTTGGAGGGACCTTCTATGGGCTCTCTTTTTCTATGCCTCCTTTTTCTAGATTGGGGCCTTTTTTTCCCACCAGTTCCTAACATCGTACGCATGTTACATACTCCTACTGAAACTCATATTGATATATTTGGCACTATTACATTTTTCAAGTGCTAGACAATGCCTTAATGGGCGGTCACAAGCAATAGCATATTGTACTTTTACCTAAAGTGTTGTTCCTTTTTTGCTTTTTGTTTCAGCCTACACAGGCAATGTTTTAAAGGGCTGTACCTTTACTATTTGTAATTACTTGCATAAATCTGTGTTATATGCAAATATATATAATAAAAACTGCACTAAATAATCCAGACACAATAACCACTACAGGAGGGAGGAGGAAGGTGTAGGGAATTATTGTGTGTGGTAGGGTGGTAGTGAGGTAGATTAAAGCAAATATAACTTTTTTGAAAGTAATTATTATTTTTAAATTAAAATATATTGATTATTTCCACTCCCTTCTTACCTGGGAGGGGGAGTCATTGCTTATAAATCACCGGTGGTCCAGTGGGGAGTGAAAGCTAGCCTGCAACTGGTGAGTCTAGATTTCACTCTTGCGAGAATGGAGCGTTGCCACGGTTAGCTCAGAACTCGCAAGAGGGGAACCCGGTGGAGATACAGGCTAAAGCTGCCCCAGCTCCTCTCCCTCCCCTGCCCTACTAAGGGTTGTGAGGTAGATCTTTGAAGTCACACAGCAGGGCTAGCACTTGGATAGCGGCGGCCCTCCACAGGCCTGTAGGGGAGAGCCTCAGCTTGCTCTATTTTCTCAGGGGAATCTGCCACTCTGTTGGAGTGTGCCTTTATATACTATAATTTGGCAGCATTGTACAGATATGCAGTGGACTCAATAAGGGTTACAACCACCACCACCACCTTTTTTAAAAAAAAAAAACACCCTCAGGGAAAGACCCCAGCCCCTCCGGGTGTGTCTCTCCCAAGTCCCGGTCTGTATGTTTTGCTCCTTCCACAGTAGTCCCCATGTGTTTCAAATCCCCAACTCCCCCTATGTCTCATTCCATCTTCTCCCTCCACCATGTGTCTTACATGCCAGTGTTAATTTTGGCAGCAAATTTCAATTTAGGTATAAATTTTTGATAAAAGAAACAAACAAATCTTTTACTTACCGTAAATTCTTTTTTTCTTAATATGGTGGCAGTACTACTGGGTTTTGCTCCTCCCTGTGGACAAGACATCTAACAAGTAATTAAAGATCAAAGAGACCCTCCCCCTTGCCCTATAAAATGCTGTACCACAAAACCTACCCCAGTACGTGACAAGAAAAAGAAAAACAGACAAAATATATACTGCAAAATTTCTTTCATAAAGAGGGAGGGAAGGAGTACTGCCACCATATTAAGAAAAAAAGTACTACTGGGATATAGTAAGATCCCCATCTGGGCGGGGCTTAGGCCACCACAGCTTGTAACACCTTATGCCCAAAAGCTGCTTCAGAGGCAGACAATACGTCTAGCCGATAGTGCTTGATAA